GAGAGAGAGAGAGAGATGGATGTGCAATAGGGGGTTACAAACCAGTAAATTGGATCACATTGCATTATGAACACAACTAAGTAATATCACCTTGACATAAAAAATAAAAATAAAAAATCTTTTTTATTTCTTTTGTTTTTCCAACAGTTTCACTCCAAAACACAAACAAAAGGAAGCCTTCCCATGTTCCCAAACATTCAAAGAGGTGTTAATTAACAAGAAAGTACCAATAAAATGGTCCATACCCGTCAAGTTTCAAGGGCCTCAAACTATTTATTCTTCTCTCAGCTAATCTTGGTGCAAACTGACCCTCTAGATGAAGCCTGATAAACAACAACGGTAAGCAATCATCAGAGGGTACAATGAATACAAGGACGCATGTTAAAATCTTTTTTCTGTTCAGTACAAAGATGCATGTTGAAAAGACTTGGATACATAACATTTGCAAGGAATCCCATGCCTGCTAAAACTCAGGTTTTCATCCACTAACACTCAGTGAATATCAGGCACTTGGAAATTGAAGATGAATGGAAGTGGAACCCCTTCACTGATACTCAGGGCCTGTTACTCTCTCACTAACAGTAGAACCATATTGTGGCCCACCCTTGCGATAAGAAATGAGAAATTCGATAGGATAGCCTTTCAGCTTGCGAGGTACAATCCCCAAATTCTCGAATGTGAGAGCTGCAACAAGCAACAATAATTACATTAGTTAATAATTCACTTCTATACACACAAACACATGTGCGTGCACGCGCATACACACACACACCCCCAGTGCGAGAGAGAGAGAGAGAGAGAGAGAGAGAGCATCGAAACAAACCCTTTTCAGAGACTACAGTATCCACTGTAAGAGAGTTGATATAATCTAAATTGAAAACATCAGGGGTGGGCAGAGGAAATGGAACTTTTCTCAGCAAGATTTCTCTTGGAGATGCAAGAGCCTACATAAGCAAACAATCAAACAGAGGTCAATCATCAGTGACGTCAGGAAAAGAAGAAAATGCCCAATTCTTTTTGGTTACTTAACATGCTAGCATAAAGTTCCAAATTGTTAACGCTCTTAACAATCCCAAATTGCTAGCATAAAGTTCAAAATTGCTGACACACTTCACAAACAATGTGTTTAATTGACACTGAAATCTATAAGTTCAGACAAACCTGAAAAGATCCAACTTAACTTCTGAAATTCCAAAGTTATTTCAGTCACGTTTTATTTTCAATAAGAAATAACTCTCACCCTAAAACTCATGAAATTCAGATTTTCTGTTAGTATCCTTACGATTGTTCAACAATTCACAACTATTCGATATCCGGAAGTTGGGTATACTTAATTATTTATTAACCATCCATCGGTAAAGATTATAAAATGCCCAACAAACATTATTTACGTAATGATGAAAACATTGAAATTATATTCAATCACTCGAAAGGAATGCCCTATATTCCTAACACTTAAAACAATGATAAATGCTGTGAACAGACAAACCAACAGAAATATATAATTTACTGATTTACTTGAGATCCAATTCTAAAACGCTTACACTACCCAACCAATATACATGATTTACTGATTATTAAATATAACAACAATATCAAGATTCTGCTCCTGTAATTCATGGGACTGCCCTATCTTCTTCAGACTTCTCAGAAAATGATATTCACTACAGCGCTGAGGTCATGAAATACGGTAGCAACTTTTCTCTCACTAGACCACTACTTAACAAAAATGGGGTAATCCACTTACTTTTGCAATGGGAAAAGGGACCTTCACGTAACGAGGCCATTCACGAATAGTGTCGTACATCAATTCAGCCTGCATGATGCATGGGTGTCAGTAAAGACGAGTCATTGGCTAGTGGATTGTTAACAGACATAATTTATTTGAAACAGGGAAAATATCAGGCCAGCGAATACCAACAGGACCATGCAAGAGGTCCACAAAATAGAAAAACCAGCAGAACCAATAAGTCAGTAGAATCTAAACTTGTTATTTCTCAAGATGCCCATTTTACCCCTGGTTTAAAGCAAGCTTCTTTGCTATTTTCAACACAAGACCACAGGTGAAATAGTTGTTAAAAAAAGGATAATTAGGGAGTTCAAGTACAACCCAACTGTACTGCATGATCTATACGCAGGTGTTCCACATATTATCCTGATATTTTCCCTTAAAAATACCAATTGTCTTATGAAAATTAGAGAAAAAATTACCAGTTGATGTACAGTAAAAACTTCTGGGCCACCCAATTCATAAGTTTTCCCCATGCTAGTGCCATCATCCTTGAGGGAAGCGATAATAGCAGCGGCAGCATCAACTACATAAACTGGCTGGATTCTGAAATCAGTATGTTAGAATCTGCTGACCAAAACGAGTCTAAATTTCAAGCAATTCAACTTAGAAAGCAGCAAACAGAATAATTTTCCAATGAAAATTGAGCTTAAGGAATAGCACAGATGGCATACTTCGTGGACCCATCTCCAATGAGTGGAAGAAAACTCCATTTTTTCACGAATTGCGCCCACCGATTAAGGATGCGATCTTCTGTCCCAATCATAACAGCAGGCTTCATAATCGTAGCCTGCATTCCATAAAGCAAATTGTCATAAGATCACTATAGGAGCTAATTGACAAGCATTGGCTAGTTCATGGCAAAAGAAGAGAAAAGTCTTCAATATCTGTAGACAACAATTACAATTCCAGACAACCCTACTGCTAAGCCTAAGCTTTTTCTTAACAAGCAACAAAAAAAATATATAAGAAAATAAAAGTTGGGTTTAGAAGTAACAAAATACTCTAGCAGCTCCTGAAATATGGCTTCCAGCTTCTCATTTCCTTTTATTTCTATTTTAGTAGATGAAGTCCAAGTGACAGAATTGCAGTCCTGCCCAGGTTATATTCACAAAATATACCCATAGAGGCAAATTATACCTCTGGAAATTGCCTGAGAATGGCTTCCTCTGCAGCAGCTTTGGCTCTAAGCATTCTCGATGGAGATGACGATGATGCCCCAAGGCAAGAAACCTGTATAAATCTCATGATGCCACCGTGTTCTTTAGCGATCTGCAAAGATATGAAGAGCACTAGTAAGGCAAATGCGCCAAACCATATATTTCCTTAAAATGCTTCTAAAACATTCAAAACTAGCATCTTTGTCGCTAAATATTAAAGCATTGGCATGATGATGGACTTGTCATTCAACTTGTTCTGGTTTCTTGGTAATCACACTATCAGCATTCATCAAAATGTGAATAATGAGTGTGTCCAGACCATACAAAGATGGGAAAGACTCAATTCTCATGCTTCCCAGTTATGTTAGAAAAAGTTATTCATTAATCGAAATTAACCATTATGATGAGTGGGAATCTTCCGTCACTTCCTCAAAATCCATGTCGTTTAAATATATCATTCTTTTGGCAAGAGGCCCAGTCTGTGGGACTCCTCTACAGACCCTGTACTTACTTCTTCTTAATACAACAGTTAACAGCATTAAAAAAAAAAAAAAACCTGCCTTCTTAAACGAAAAAATTGAAATACATGTGAACACCAAGTATCAAGGAAAACAAAAGACGGCATGTGGTTATTTGGTAATCAATACCAAATGTTTAAAAAAAGGTGAGTGGCTGCCTCAATTCAAGGCAGCTGAAACTAGAAAAAATAAGTGACACATGTAATGTTTTTGGGAGGTGACTGCCTAGCAATCGAGGCAGCCGTGTAGGCCAAGGATCTAGGCAATCAAGACGGCCACCTAGGCGGTTGGACACCTAAATGGCCAAGGTGGCCTCTAGGGAAATGTCTAAAGCCAGGCCACCTTGGCCTAGGCAGGCAGATCTTGTCTTTTTAAGGCATTGGCTAAGGCACTGCATTTAGCTAAACAGAATAATGTAGAGTTAACAACATGTAAAGACAAACAAGACCCAACCATTGAAAGTTGTTCGGCCATAACATGGTTGACTTCTTCAAAACTATAGTTTCTGGTCTCATACTCCCTACCTGCCAGCACAAAATAGAATAGCTTATTCAGTGTTGTTGCCTGTGTCCCACATTAAGGTAAGCAATAAATTAGCCATGAAAACAAGTGCATACCAATGAGGTTGATAACAACATTAGCCTTTGCCATAACTGCCTTGATTGAGCCCTCATCCCGTGGATCGTATTTCATTGGCACTATCTAACCAAATTTAAACACTTAATCAGACAATAAGTGGCACAGTAAAAGGAAGAAAATGTCAATAACACAGAGCATAAACAGCATAATTCAGCAATTAACAGAGAATATTGCAAGTGACAGAAGTTTATAAGAACACCTGGCCAAGATCACCCATTAGCTTGAGATGTCGATGGGAATCCTCACATCCACGAAATGGAACTAGCACTTGAGATCCCATTTTAGCTGGTAGTAAACAACATGCAAGAGGAGCCAAAATTACAAAATGCCAAAAACTGCACGGAAAACAATGCAAAATAAGCAGTTTACAGCATAAGCAAAAGGAAACCTCAATGGACTAGGGTCAATGAGTATCCCTTTCTTCTTCATCAGTTATTTGAGTGAGTTAATGATAATTCTGGTGTATTAGGGTGTGGTTTCTCAAGGATGATGCACATTGGAAGAAAAAAAAGATGACATAAAATTGGAGAAATGGTATTTCAATCATAAGCTATTAGGGTTTCAGAAGTCATTTTCCTTCCCCACTGATCACTGAGTGTCACACTCTTCAGAATGTCGAACATTCAACTATCAACTGAACCATACTAAGGGATTGAATAGTATTTTATGGATATCGTTCAAAACAGTCACACAACTGCATTAAGGGATGCGCTTGAACTCCTTATCCACAACAGATGGGAGTTGCTCCCCTCATGAAGAGAGGTCTAAGTGTATAAATTTGAGAGATGTATTGAGAAGACTTGTACATTGTGACCTGGTGAGAGCCCCCTTACATATTCAGCCTTGTATATTCTCTTTCTTTACATTCTTTACACATGAATACAATGGGTGGGGTACCAGGCTACCAGCTCAAACCCCTAATGAACTTACCGAAAAGAAAAGATACTGTATGGATATGTTAAAGGGAATATGCTTTAAGTTCTGTATTTGTGATTCTCAACACAACCATGGAGCCCCTCCTAAATGACCAAATATTAATTAGCTCATAGCGGTCTTTACAGAGAATTATGGTCATAAGGACTTTTAATTGTCATTGTTCTTTTATTGTACCTTTCATTTGCTTTGGTCATGCATAAGCATCCATTTTTTCTTCTATGTTTAAATTTTTAGAAAACATAACAAATAATACACAATTAAACTAATTCTTAATGGTTGCTCCCTAGCAACCCCAGCAGGTCGAGCGTAGGTGGCTTGTTTAGAAACCGTTAGGGAGACTACCTTATCTCTTACTCAGGCTTCATCAGGGTCATGGACTCAACCGGCAGACCCCACTTCCACCAAGGTAAAGGCAAATGAGCATCTTCTGGGCCCCAAACTATAAAAGGCAGTTGGGGTCCTTCAGGTGGAAGGGGATTCCATGGATGTGATTTTGTGGGCTTCCAATGAGGCCCTATGTCCCGGGATGTAAATAGGCCTGCTTCCCCACTGGCTTACCTTTTAGTTTCTTTGCTAACTGTAAAAAGCTTTGTGGTTGGTTTTTTGGCCCCCTGTTTGATTAGTGATTTGTGACACGAAATTTTGTACATTGCCATTCTATTATCACTTATAAAGTTATTTATCCTAAATAAACTAGCATAATTCTTTATGGTTGGTGCAGTTGACATGTAATATTGCAGCGTACATTTCATGGCAAACATGATGCTGAGGATTTTGTGATCTATGTATGTGGGGAATTTGGAAGGGTTTACAGGTTCATGCCAAAATATATTGGGATCTCTACGATAAAGTATATGTATATACTCGATGCTACATACACAAATGTACCTAGATATATTACATAAGAATTGATCCATACAACCATGTGCTATAATTTAGAATTTTTTATTCAGTTTACCTTTTTTCTAATGAGACAGAGAGTTGTACTTTGAAGTCTCTCTAACCTCTCTCTCTCTCTCTCTCATTCATTTCTCATCCCTCTCCCTTTCCAGTTCCCTGTGATAAGCAGACGTCCTCTCTCACAATAACTTCTCTCTTCAACCAGTAGACGGCGAAAAATAATAGAGGTATGAAGACACAAATCCATAGAGAAAGGCCCAATGATAGAGAGATAGATATCTTGCTATTCATCACAATAAGAGGGAGACCAAGATAGATGTGCACTGCGGCAGTGCTGGGTGGAGTGAGATTTAGAGAGAGAAGAAGAATGAGAGAGAGAGAGACGATTTTTTCTTGGCTTGGCTTTTTGCGCCCTAAAGAGCAGAATAAGATGGGCCACATACCCCCTTAATTACTCCTGGATGTGATACAAAGGGCTGAACAGAGTGAGAAAGCATTTGGTGGCCTATGCCCTGGTTTGCTGGCAGGGAAGCGAGATACTAAGGAGTAAGGATATTGTGAAGACACTAAGCAATGTGTACAGATCACTTTCCCCATCTTATTGAAGCAGGTGGTTTGTGATTGTTCGCTCTGCAGTAGATTAGAGGGAGAAAGCGTGGCTTACAGTAGAGAGAGAGAGAGAGAGAGGAGAGAGAGATGGCAATTTGATAACAGTCTTGAGAGAGAGAAACACCAAAGTTTTATCATGGGTTTGACAGACAGGGGGCTTGTGCCTCTAGGAGAAAAGGGAGAAAGCTGAGTGAGAAAGATGAAGACGTGGATTTTGTTGTGAGAAAGAAGGGCATTGTGTTGTTGGATAAGATCCATGAGGATTCGAGAGAGTTGTAATTTGGGCTTAGAGAGAGAAAAAGGGATTGTGTTGATAGGGGTCAGAGAGGGTTAGTGAGAGAAAGAGGGTTATAAGCTGAAGTTAGAAAAGAGAAGGGGATTGTGTTACTGTAGAAGTCCCAAATATTTACTATACAGATAGCATATTTATTGTATTTGTAATTGTTAAAATCTTAGTAAATTTATATTAATATTTTATTTTATTTGTATTTTATTGTATTTATATTTTATTGTTAAAATATTAGTATATTTATATTTTATTGTGGGCAAAGTGGAGATATGCATCAGGAGTTTTATGTGATCACCACATACTAAGAGGAAGTTCTATAGGATGGTTGTATGATCAGCCACGTTTTATGAGACAGAATGTTGGACGGTCAAGAACAACATATCCATAGGATAAGCATGGCTGAGATGAGGATGTTGAGATGGATGAGTGGCAAGCCAAGAAAGGATAGCATTCAGAATGAATACATAAAAGGGCATTTAGGTGTGGCTTCAATAGGCTACAAGACGAGGGAAAGTAGAATTAGGTGGGCTAGTCATGTGCAACGTAGACTTGCTACAACACTTGGTTAGGAAGTGCGATTTGGTTCAAGTGGAGGCTCTAGAAGGGCAAGAGGAAGGCCCCAAAAGGATATGGATAAAAGTAGCGAGAAACAACATGGTCACTTTTGGTCTTACTGAGGGTATGGCCCTTGATAGAAAAAAACAGAGGAACATGATTCATGGAGCTGACCCAAACAATTGGGATAAGGAAATAGTCGAGGGGGACTCAGCTATTGTTGTCAATTGGTGTAAGAATCCTAGCTCGGTCCCTTGGAGGTTCACCTTGATCATGGACGAGATTGTCAAGGCGACTCAAGGTAAGGAGGTGACCTTCATCCATATTCACAAAGAGAAAAATGGCGAAGCAGATTTGCTAGCTAGAGTGAACCTCACATTGAAGGCTATTCACTTCCCTTCTCCTCTTCTCCTTCTTCGTATCCCTCTCTTCTTTCTTGACTTTCTTATTTTGTCTTTGTAATCTCATTTACTCGATGAAATTACAGTTAACACTCAAAAAATAATAATTGGGATAAGGCGTGAATGATGATGACGATGATGAAAATCTTAGCAAATTGTATTGGTCTAAAAATTAATTTTTTTTAACATGTTGATGACTATATATAATTAGTAAAAATGGAATGTACGACATCACGTCTGGGCTTTGCCAACCAGACCGCTAGGGCCATGGGCTCATCCCTATAATAGGCAATAAAGGTAGGTTCTTCATTGTTGAAATTGCACACGATAATATTATGCCTTGGTATATGCATGTGTGTGTTATTTCAGTTATCATAAAAAAGAAATAAAGAATTTCTTTTCACTATTGAATTGTCCATTTTAGTAGGTTGTTTCGCTCATTTTGTCATTCTTTTCCCATCTCTAGTTACATTTTAATAAAAAAATCTACCAAGTTTCATGTTCCTTAATTAGAAAAAGCAATATTTTAAAATTCAATGAGTTCGACTTGAACTAGCTTGGGATACTCCGACTCAATGTTTCAAAAAACGGTCCGCCGCCCGCCAAGGCGCCCAAGACCCTATGCACTGAATGCCTAGTTCTAGGCGGCCCATTCTGGGCAGAGGTACCTGGGTGGGTGCCCAGGGATGTCGGTTTTTTATTTAAAAAAAAAATACCCAAAACGGCAAAGGGGGTAATTTTGACCCCTAAAAAGATTTAAATAGGTAATGAGGGTTATTTTCAAGCGCCAAAGTTAAAAGAATAATTCCATAAACCCTCTTAGCTATACCTATTTCTAAGAATCAAAAGTATTTTTTATGGTTTGAAAAAACTTCCTAAAATTTTCTACTTATTATGGAATATGCCTATTGCTAAAAATCAAAAGTATTTTTTGTGGTTTGAAGAAACTTCCTAAACTTTTCTACTTATTATGGAATATGGAGAGTTGGAGACTACTAATACATATCCTATTAGACTCTTTAAATTTTGTATGGTTTGAATTTTGAAATTTTGAACAAGTTTATTCTCAACATGCGATATGTCATATGTTTGTATGAAGCATGTTACAATATTTCCAAATGCAATAAAATACAAAATTGACACAAATATATGTACATATTATATCTTTATAAAATCTGTACTACAGGGCGCCCAAGGTTCTGTGCGGTCACCTAGCATTTTTTTAAACCTTGCTCGGACTCATTGAAAAACCTTGGAAACAGCCAAGTCAGACCCATTGATTCAGGCTTAAGTCCTGCCTGGTTCCATGCTGTAGTCTGAGTTTATAAACACAGAGTTCTACCCCCAGATGTTTAGTCGATTTCCTGCTTTTTATAAGAGACTCAGCCCCTCTAATGACGATATAGATTATTTTAATACACTTCGAAACTATGAAGTCAGCACAGTATCTATGAGACTTTTGAAGTCCGAAGAGAACCTTTTCAAAAGACCTTGTTTTATATCTCTCTGTAGTATGAAGTTATAAAATGGAGTCAACATTTCTTGTATGACTTGGTCCTCATTAAAGGTACTCTTCCATTCTATAGAAACTTAATCTCTCTCTCCTTGAAAAGTCCTAAATCTACATGGATGTAGAATGAACGGTTTTCTCCCTCTAAGTGGTATGTAAAAGTTCAGAACCACTGTTCCCATCAATAAAATAAACCTCCACAGAGAGGGATCAGTGAGTCTGTAATTATTTTAGCGTTTTACATCATTGAAGAAATTTCTCTCAATTTTAGTGGCTGCCAACCATAGGGTGGGTTTGCTGCAAGATGTCAAACATACAGATTTTTGTGAATGTCTTCATTTGAATCTATGTTCCTTAGAACCAAACAATATTAAACTTTCTCAGCGCAGTAAGGAAGGGTCTAGATCTATGCAACCCCTCCTAAGATACTTCTCTAGTTCCTTAAGCATTTTTCTGCTCTAACAAATTCAATGAAGTCACTATTGATCAATATCAGTTTATGCCTTTGTAATCCTTCTACTTTGTTAAAAAAAGAAGTTCCATTTATATCATAAAAATAAATGCACCATAGGGAAAAGTATTCTCCCAATGTTTTTTTGAGACTTTTCATGGTATAGAGGAAGACTTAACATCATGAAATGGGTTTCACAACAGAGAACGGACTTGCAGACATCATGGAAAAGATTTTCAAAATAGGTGACAGACTAAATGTTTTCCTTTTCACAAGTGCCAAGGGCAGTTAATGAGAAGGCTAAAATCCTAGAAAGATATGAACGATGGTTTCAGAATTTTTATTTGCTGGGGATAATCTATGATTCATATGTTGTGCCTGTAAACTGAATAACAGATGAATTTCACTAATCAAGATAAAAAAAAGAATGCATGCACCAAAGAAGGAAAAAAAAATAAAAGTCAGTCACATTTAAGGCATTGATCTACGTATGGTAAAAAAACACACCTAGCTGCTGCACAAGATATCGACCGAGAAATCCAGTTGCCCCAAATACAGTTGCAATGATACCACTGCCATGAACAATCCAGAAACATTAAATGATCTTGAATCCAAAAGTAGGAAAAACGAAAAGAGAAGTAGCAACTTGTAAAGCTACACAGACCGTCACAACCAGACACCATTTACAAGTAACATACAAATGAGCACAAGGGTGGCATTGCAGTTTATACACACAAAATTCAGCAATGTTCTGAATCAAGAGTAGAGATTGCTCTCACACAAATGTACCCCAGCACAAAACCATTCATGAAAGTTGCAAGCTCAGTTAAAATAAATAGGCGCTACATGTCATAATGGTGAAATAAGATGAAAAATACATTCCTTTTGCCAAACCAGTAACATATTGGTTTAGAAATTCATCATTCAATAAAATGAAAATTCAATGGGAAAAACCAAATCTTTATGTTAGCAAAAGTAAACTAAATTGTTGTTCAGGAAGTACCTAACAGAAGACCTGCCACCTGTACCTTTGCGTACCAGGTAGCCTGAACCCTTAAGGGCAACAGATGACCCATATCGAGCATGATCCACTCTATGATCTAAAGAGAGCACAAAATTAGTAATTTCATTTTGCGTACCGAATTGACAGAATAAAAACCAGATAAACACTCAAATGAATATATAAATAAATATAATAAATAAACGAGGATGAGGCATTCCAGCGACAAACAATAACAGCATATGAAAATCATGAAAACACAAAAACAAATACCGTTATTCAATTATTGAACATAAAAAAATAAACTTTACTCAAAATTTGATCCATTTCACTATGTGGTACATAGTTTTCAATTTTTCGACAAAGAAAAAGTAAACAGGAAACCAAACAAAATGGCTCATTTCCTCCATAATGAGCTCCTTGGCATGAAAAAACAACTCTATAATCTGAACCAGAATCTACAGAAGCAAACTGATTTCAACTAATTTTTGTTCAGATAAAAATTTGAAGAGAGGAGATCAGGAAAGAAAAGGTATCAAAATTCAACCATAAATGCCAAGAAAAGGCAGAAATATGAGAAAAAGCAGGAGTACCAGGGTGCAAGTAAAGAGACTGGAGCGAAGAGAGGCCATTAGAGGGTCTGATAATGTGCCCTAGGCGCCTTGAAGAGACCTGCATCATGCCCTAATTTCTCAGTTCACAGAGTAATTGCACAGTGAGAGAGAGGGAGAAAGGGTGTGCGGAGCGCGAGGGAGAAGACCAAACGTAATGCAAGTCTAAAAAGATGAAAAAGTTTGGATACCCCCGAAATGTACCTTGTAGACGTCCACCCTCCCAATAATTTTGACACGGTGTGGTTTGTACGAGGTTGACACATCAAAATCTATTTTCATATCCAATTAGGAAATTTTAAATTTTAAAAATAGTTAAATTAAGTATATCTATAAGAAAAATAAAAATCTTTAAAATAGATTACCTAGATAATGTGATCCAAATTTACTATTTTTCAAACTTAAAAACTTTTTTTTTTTTGCATATTCATACATCTCAATGTCGAGATGATCAATTAATGGGTTTTTCAACATTAAAACAACCTTTCTCATAGATTTTTGAGGTGCATTTGTAATTCTAAATTTTAAAGTTGCAACTTTATATCAATGTTTTCCATTTTCGAATCCCATACCTAACTCAATTAATTCCTTTTTCACTTATTTTACCCCAAGGAAAATTGTTTCATACGGGCTGGACGGCATTGCTACACATGCGGTCCCGAAAGTGTAAAGCATCCATCTCAAGTAGGTGTTCCATCTAAAAATAATGGAAACTAATTGTTCAAATATTTTCTTGCTAGAATTATTATTTTTAATTTTAATTTTTTTTTTTTTCCATATTCATGATCTCCATGTTAGAGGTTCATATCCTTAAAAATTAAGCCTTAAAATCTATCTAAAAAATAGATTTATTAAGAGGCCCGTATTTCTACATATGCGAGCTTGGCCGCATAGAAACCAGGTACTTACCCCAATTAAAAGTAAATATATTAAAGACTAAACTACCCTTTTAATCCTCCCTTACTTGGTAAAACTCTCTCTACCTTATATGACTCTCTCTCTCTCCCCCATCTTGAAATAGGAACGTGTAGTTCGGCACAAAGTATGCTGGACTGGTAGTGAGGTTTCTTGAATTTGAAGCTAAATTCCAATCTAGCACAAAAGTATATCGGACTGGCTTTAGATTTTGAATTCCATAAACGCCACTACTGGCCCAACACACTTTTGTATCAAACCGCATTTTTCATTGTTTTTGCCATGAAGGATATTGCAAAAATATGCCAGACTGGCTTGTAGTTTATAATGATTGGTCCATCACATGTTTCTGTCGGATCAAATCTTTGCCCATGTTCTTTTGATGCAGTACTTTGTTGTGCCTATGTCGAGCCACATATATGGGTTTGGCAAATTTTGTGCAAGATTGATTCCAATTTTTGCTTCAAGCGGCATGCCACGAGAGTTGATTGAAACGTGAGCGTACGTGTCCTAAAAAGGGTAATTTTGTTATAAAAATCATAACTCAGGGTAATTTTGTTATAAAAATCATAACTCTTTTATTTTGTGGGTAAAAGCAAGAAAAACCAGTAATTAAGTTAACGGTTGTGATATGAAAGTATCGAGGGTTTGGATGTCTCCAAAATACATTTCAAGAGACATCCATAATTTTCCCTAAAAAAACCTAGGTATATGTAAGGACCTAAAGATAGCAACACCCATGTTTTTATTTCATGTTAGGTAATAAAAAATTCTTGGAACTAGGACGTTTTAGGTCCCTGGAAGCTGGAATTGTGTAGATCTACAAGTTTTAGAATCCGTCTTTATTAATCTGAAAGTTTTTAGATATAGGCTTCATAATTGTCTAATAAAGCTTCATCTTAGGTAATAAAAATTTCTTGGAACTAGGACATTTTAGGTCCTTGGAAGCTAGAATTGTGTACATCTGGAAGTTTTATAATCCTTCTTTATTAGCCTGTCTCAAAGTTTTGAGAGAGAGAGAGAGAGAAGGGTTGGGTCGTGGTGGTAGTACCCCACACCCTAGTCACCACTTTGTGGTTTCTAATCGCACCACTAATACCATCCCACTAATACCTTCAAAAAAGCTAACTCCTATTCTACTTGAAAAAACGGGTAGAGGCTTGTCTTCCCCACTTACTACCCAAAAAAAAAAAATAAAGAGAGAGAGA